GGGACACAAATTTGCATGCGAATGGCGGGAACTCCTTTGCACCGTGCATTTCTCTTTGCAACTAAGAAATGCCCCCTGCAAAGAAAGCTCCTAGTGGCGGGAAATAATTTAGCAGTGCCGAAGCGCGCACAAACAAAATCACACCCTTGGGTTGTGACAGATGGAATGGTCTGGCAGGCCGCATCTGGCCCGCGGGCCACATTTTGCCCATCCCTGCTCTAACCAGCACTTCTCTAGCAGAATCACAAAGCAGAAAGGAAGGGGAGAACATTAAAGAATTGCATTTACTCCTGACAGAAAACTGTCTGGTCAACAAGATCGGTGGGGTGGAACGCAGACAACCCCATGCTCCCTGTTGTGCCCGACCCTCGAAGGGATGGTGCTGTTCCAGGGAAAGGGGGGCTGAGACGGCACTCCAGATTGAGAAGCGGAGGTTTACCCACATGGGCTCACTTCTGCACAGAGAAGGCTCTCTACGCTTGTACCTAGAGAGGGACCTCTTTGAATAAAACTTCCAGGTGTCCTAAGAGAGCTTGTAAAGACCACCTGAACTGATGGTCCCCAACTCCAACCTCCAAAGCAGTATTTAAAAGGATTTAAAAAATGAAATTCTTTCCCTTTAAGTTTTGGTGGTCAATTTACTGCATTTTAAAGCAAGTGTGACATTTCCTGAAACAGTTCCTCTATCTGCTGTTCTGCTGAAAGGTCCTATTGTCTATACATGCATACAGTGCCAAGTTGTGTCTTTATTGACTTTTCTTAAGCAGTTTAACACATGTCAGTTATTCTTCAACCTCAACAGCTGGGAATGAAACACTAAAAAGTCTTTACCAGACCTCTGTTTACATACACAGAACTTTTTGTGGAAGAAGAGTCCCTCTGAGTACTAGAAAATTCAAAAACAGCACTGTATGACCCAATATCTGAGGCACTTCAGTCATGTTTGGGGGCCAGATGACAACTCTAGAGCCTTGTGTCCCAAGTCTTACCTTTGTAGTGGTTTCAGAAACAATACACACAAAGTACAATAAATATTGTTTGGCATAAAAATAAAGCAGAGGAGTAATCTTAAAAATATACTTCAGGACAGAACAGGAAGGCTCTAGTTATCCTTTAAAAAAATAAATAAATTAGGAAGTAATCTCGTTATACTGGAAGGGGTTAAAAAGAACTGAACACATTATTTGGAGAATCCCATAAAGCAAAGCAGTAGACAGCTGGTTAGAGCCACAGGACAGTAAAAGAGCAGAGATGGAAAGAGATTAAGATGCACCAACAGAATTAAAATTAGTAGTTCCTTTAGTGCGTAAGACTAATGATGTGGACCACCATGTGCAGCTTCAATTTAAAAATAAAAGAAACATTAACTTGTGAACCTGTTAAAGGGCTTTATGTGGAAGCCACTGCAAAAGGTAAGCTACAGTCCAAGGAAGTCAATGGTGTTTTGCATCCAATCCATAGGCCATTTACAACAGTAACCTTAGAGTTGTGCAAGCTCCAACAATACATGGAAGCTTTCTGCATGGAGCACTGCATCATCTGGACTGAAGGCTGACTTGTTGGTACAGTCCATGTTGGGAGCCAAAAAACCCACAAAAATGAGTATTAGACAACTACTTAAGAGTCTATAAAGCGGATAGGAGATAGCAGTGGCTTAAAAAACCCCCACAACTCTATATAACAAGTCAGTGTTTCCTTACCTGTGCTATGTTTTTGTTGAGAAGGTACACTCCATACTCAAACTGAAGTTTTTCCCCTCCTTTTGGATACAATGGAAACCTGAAGAGGAAAAGAAAAAGAAATCTGTTTTTATCATATAAAAAAGCAATATCAGGGTTTTGTTTTTAAAGGCACAGACTGATATGGAGGGGACATAAAAACAAACCTCATACAATAAAAAAAAAATATGCAACTCTTCAAGATTCAAACAAGGTAGATTTCCTGGATTTGTCGGAAAGCTTTTACAGCTTTCCATGTAGCATGATGTACATAGGCAGACAAGGTGCTTTGGGTAAAGCTGATCTCTTTTATTAAACCAACTCAAATAGATGGAAAAATTCTTCTTTGCAAGCTTTTGGGAACAAATACCCTACATCAGGCGGAGGAAGCATCTGCAGTTGGTGTGTGCTCTTCCTGGATGGAATGAATAGTCCAGCTACGATGCACATGGAGTATTCTTTACCAAGGTAGGGTAGATTGTACCTTATAAATTCAAGTGTATACATATATATTGATATATTATTAGCACAAGCCTTTGTGGGCTAGAGCTCACTTCATCAGATGCAGATGATATAAGCTTGTGCTATATCCCTCTACTTTAGTTAGTTTGTAAGGTGCAAATCTACCCTGCCTTCTACTTGGCTTCAGACTAATGTGGCTAATTACAACCATTCTACAGGTTTCCCTCGCTTTATGCGGGTTCTGTATGTGTGATTTCACTCTTATGTGATGACCCTTTTATACCAAAAATGTGTTATATGTGAAGTACATTCACTCTTATGCGATTGGTTTGGTGGAAGCCCGCAGTCAGGTGCTTTGTGCGGTGCACTGTGGGAGTGATGTGCACCAAAATAGTCTCCTGTGTGGATCTGTGCTCCTTGCTCATTGTTTGTGACATGTGTCTGTAGTTGCCATCCCCATTATGATAGTGCCCTGTGCTTGTGTGCACTGCCTGCCGTTGGCAAGTACCAATATTGTCTTGTAAAAGTGCTAGAAATGGGTCTGGGGGTCAGCAGAGTCGAGGTCAAGCAAAGCTTCTTCCCAAGGATTACACACCCTAGCCCATCGCTCCACAGTAAACCACTGCTAAAAGATACTGGCTTCTTGTTTAGGAAACCTAAACGAGAATTGATGTCCTATGCTAGGGTTATGATAATCAAAAAGCGTTACTATAGTACATAAGGGAAGTCTCAAAAACCACGAATTATCTTTAAGTGCTGAGATTTAGATAACTGTTGATAAGAGAAGTACAGCACGTTGGGAACGCTAGCACTTTGTACAAGAATTATCATGGCTAACTGCTGGCTCTTGGCTGCTGCAGGTAACAAGAGACAGCTCTCGTGTCAGTCTCAAAGGTGTTTAGCCCGTTCAGCTGTAATACTGAAAACCAAAGTAAAGGTACATCAGGAACGCAGACTCCTCCAACAGCCCTAGAAAGTTGCTTAGGATGAACCAATTATCTTTGCGGTTTTAATTCTGTATTTAGACTCCTTATTTGCACTCCCCCTCAGCCTCAGCTAGGCTTTGGCTGACTACATGTGCCTGGAAGTTAACGAGATATTTTTAAGTAAAATGTACAATCAATTCATGCAAGGATACCAGTGTGAGACAAGGTCTTCTGTCTGATTTTTAAAGCCAAGAGACCTGCGTTCTATATCAAAATAAATAAAAATACTGTATAGGCTCATGGCATCAAATCTTTGTTCCATCAGAAAGCAAGAAATATGAAAAGTTTCATATGTCAGATCAGTAACCTGAGCAGTGTTCAGTAGATGTAATTGCACATCAACTTTATTGCAACTCAAAGAGGGCTTCTTTACAGCTGACCAGACAAAGTACATTTGCAACCTTTAAACTCAGTTTTAAAGAGTGCTTTAAAGCCAAAAGTTAATAGGTTAACATTATGGCAGATCAAATATTAAGATGCTAGCTCCAAGTTTTATGTGATTTTCAATCTCCTAATGGGTCACTTTAAGTTGAAGAGTATAAAAAAACCCACTGTAACTAGGATTATCTAGATCACCTTGCTCAATAGATATATAAATCCAGCCTGTCTGCAGTGGATGAAAAAAAATCTCCAAAATGAGCATGCTTATCACAAAAAGAAACCACCATTTAATGTTGAGTACAAGATACAGAGCAGAAGGAATTCATTTCAACATCTTAAACCATCCAGTTGCAGCAGAATTTACGTTATGAAGGATACAATTACAATTAACAGTAAAAAAGACTCATTCAAGCTTGACAGAAGGCCTTAACACATAAGACATGCTTCATTACATGATGGCATTTCATTTAGCCATTGGAAATAGGACCTATATATTTTATCTTCTTAGCAGAGGAGATTAGCTATACATAGCTTGAATAAGGACAATATCAAGAAGTCTTTAAAATAAATTTTCCTCCCTCGTACCAATTAAGGGCACTAACCCCATCCATTTTCCCCGATGAATCTTTAACAGGCTAAAAAAAACCTTAACATTAACTCTTAAAAAAAAAAAATCTGGGAACATAGCCTAGGTATGGCGATGTGTGTATCTGTGGCATTTTACTATGAAAAAATGTTAAAAAGATTTCTTCATGATGTTATTTTTCCCCCCCTTTCCCTCCCCATCTATGTTGAATTCATGTATTTGGTTTGTTCATAAACTAAACTCTCCTGGGCACTTAGACTTGCAAATACCACGACTGACTAGTGGCCAACAGCACAGCTACTACGCTGCCTGGTTCCTATTAACAGTGTCGGGACTAAACTCATGCTTTTGACGTGTCATGCAGCCCAAAGTCATTAGTTTTTTTTGTAATTAAATCTATTCAGCATCTCACAATAACAGCATCTATCCAGAGGCCTAGTGTTTCAATCATTTTGAGCATTTTGTGATTATTGAATATTTTCCTAGCCATTAATCACTCACAGAAATGCCTCTCTTGTCTCCATTCTTTAAATGGTCTTGACTTGAGTGCTTTCAGCTTTATAAAAACAGAAAACGAACATTCAAAGCTGACTGAGTACTCACTCTGAGAAAAAGAAATTCGAGGCCCTCAGTCGTGCACCATGAAGTGGGCCAGTTTATAAGCAAAAGGTTGTTGGTGTTTTAACACATCCAAATGCACTAGTAGTTATGTTCAACTGTCCACTTTTTGCATAACCTCTCTCGGTCTTTAGAACAAGAGTAAACTACGCTAACTTTGGAGGTGCTCACGGTCACTTCTTGACAGAGGGAACTTTTCGCATTTCTCAGATCTCCCAGCAAGCATCATACCGGGCTTCTCTAACTATTAAGAGACAGGACCAAATCCATTTGTTTATACATGACCATCTTTGGGAATTATACTCACAAAGCAAAAGTAAGATTCTGGAAGTTCATATTCTACAAACCTCAAAAATCAAAGAGCGCTTACAATCAGGGTTTACACGCAATTGAAAGAGTGCCTGTTACAACAAGTCAGAACTCATGGTAGAAGTAATATGTTTTATAGACTATATGGTCTAATAAAAGATATCACCTCTACCGTGAGTTCTGATCCCTTTTGCCTCTAGACCAATACGGCTACAACATGGACACCTGTTATAAGAAGTGCATTAATCAAGACTGAAATGGTCCACCACCTTACTCCTTAATTTTTGGTTTAGGAAAAAGAAAGTGAAAGATGCAATCCCTGAACTCTTACAAAGCTAATCTGCCTACATGAGAGTGGTCTCTCCATCTCTTAAATTACTACCATATTAATTCTCAGCACTACAACGGCACGCTA